TCTTCAATGATTCCTCAGGCGCGAGCCAAAACCCATGAAAATAGAAGTTGCACTGTTGGCTCTGCCTTGAAGTTGAAAAGCTGTTTTTGGGCCTCTGGAAAGTCCATGCTTCGGGCCAAGGAATCGGAACAAACCAGCTTCTGCAAAGAAGGTTCACATTGACCACCCTGGCCTTCCAGTCAGACTCAGTGAGGTAGGCGTCAAGTCGAGACCCGATGACACTTGGACCTCTCGTTTCATTCACTACAAGCCTGGAAGGGCTGCAGCATTCAAGTGGTTGGCGTCCTGTTCGGTTCCTCGTTGCGAACATACAGGGAACCTTTGCTTGTTAGTATTGATCAGCACAAACTTCAGGACAACAATACAACTTAAAAGCGACGCCTGAGCAAGTCCTGGCAATATTTGGTCACACGCCTTCGCGTTGCAGCACAATGCTGATATCATAATAACCAAGGCTCAGCAAGGCAGCAGTTTTAGCCCGGCGCTTGCATCATGCTTGTCGGGACGTCATGACTTCATCTGTATGTTCGGCCGTCTTTGACCGCAACTGCAGGGGCTACGAACATGTGAAACTGAGGGCTGCCCAGTCTCCTTGCCATGCCAAGGATTCGCAACCAGGATTGGGAAAAAAGGTCAACTATGCCCAAGACTGACATGCTTTACCCGTGGAGTCAAACGGACCACACTGGGACGCAGAAAGTGCACCCACTCCATATCGCTTAGTCCTAGTATGATCCGTTTGATGCGCGAGCACTCACAGACTGCTCAACATTACGTGTTTTACAAAAACATGTTCTGCGCCATCCACGTTTTACACCAGACAGACGTTCTGGGCAGAAGGTTTGTCGCATAGAGAGAGGACTCCAACATAATATGCATTAAGAACCATTGCTCTTCCATTCGTCGACTCAAGCAATACGTGAAAACAAAAACACATGGGGCCCCTCTGTCCAAAAGGCCTAGCAGAATTTCCAGCAACGATCCCCCTTTGCTTAGGGCCTTCCCATCCAATCTCGGAACGACATAAGTGACGGAACATGGAACAAACTTGTGCATCTCCGTTGAAATTCAGGGTGCAACCCTTGTCAGTGGATTCACTACAAACCGTAGAGCCGCATTCACTAACTGTCACCGGGTGCAAGCCTCGAAACAAGTAGAGCCCAACGATTCTCAGAACTTTCATCTGGCTCGTTGACTCCAACAACCTTCGTGCTTAACTTTTCCAAGACCGCTACTTGTTGTACATTGTTTCAGTGGCTACATAGTGATCATGGTGGAAAGCTACAGCAGGGCAAAAGGTAGGCTTCGTCTTGCAGGGAACGCCTGGGGAAAAAATACAACCCACGGACCATAATATGTCTCTTTTGCTTGATTCCAAACAGGAACTGACATGTGTCATTGGTTGTTTCGTCCCTGGCCTCTGCGTTGGAAAGCCCAGTGGCCCCTTTTTCCGGTGATGGTGGCCGACCCCCTCTAAACCTCTCTGCAAACGAGGCGCCTTGGAAATCAATCTACTGGAATGGACATTTTGAGCAACGCGGCCGCGGTGTTCATTCCGGAAGCGACCCCAAACAAGCACACCACTTGCGAGGCCCACAAAGTGGATGGACAACATGCTACCTCCATTTGCTAAAGCCCCCTGGCAAACCAAAAGAAGTCCAGTATTGACAAATTCCCTTTACCAATTAGGGGGAAAAACTATGGAAGGCTATGGCCTTCAGCAACATGCAATATTCCTGGACGGGCATCTTAGAAACAGTCTGCCGAGAACACATGGCATTCAGTGCAAGCCAACTCCGGGAAGATTGTCTCATGAAACAGCACATGGCTGAACCACCGAGTGCCCGGCGTGGAAAACATGCCAGCATTGCCTCCACTCCCAAATGACTGATATGGCACGATCTAACATGTCCACCCTAGCATGCATGTTGAAGGCATGCTTCGTCTATAAATCAGCGAAGTAATCAAGCAGTAATCCGATGGTTGCCAACCCATGACAGGCCAGAATTCCAATAGTGTGTCATAGCGCCTGATGCGGCCTCATGGAGAAAAATAGTTACTGCGGCCCTTAGGGGTTCATCCTTTGGGGGCTTCCATGATGGACCAATTATAACAAGTGTATATCTATATATACTATTATAAGCGTTGTTTACACCCATGCCAAGGGTCGAGTTACGCTGCCTTTGCCAAAAAGACCCCCCCGCCGGGCCGAGCAGGGAAATGGAACTTCCCAAGCAGTCATGGTGCCTCCATGCAACACGTTGATAGGAAATGAGACAATCGCGTTTTTTCAGCTACGATTCGTCAAAAGGGCTTCAACACACCACCCAGCCACCCAGCACGCACAACAAGCACAAAGCATCACAAAGCATCACAAAGAGCGCAGGGCGGATGCCGACCACCTCACCCAACCAATCCAGGGGTCTCGTTGCTTGGCTGTTCGCTTTCTCTGGGACCATCTGGTTACTTGCCTGTAAGTTTCGCGCTAGGGACTGCAGCTGTGTCACTCGAGGGTCTGTCTTGAGACGTACGGAACGTGGCTGACGCCTCATTTCACCTAGAGCCAAGCACATGCAGAAAGCCGCGAGAAGCGGATGGGTGTTTTTTCAGGGATGAATATGCCATGTGTAAAGAACATGTTTAAACCACACCTGTCGAAACAAGCTCCTTTTTGGCTTCGCTTTGAAGGACCTGTGATGGTTTCAAGATATGTTAGATATGTTGACCAACCCTACGTACGGCAGCCATGTCCTATCCATCTGGCCAACGCTCCAGAGATCATCGGTCCATTTGTGGTGGCCGGTGCCTTTTTGCCCCCTGCAGTCAGAAAGAAAAGTACGTCTTTGACAGTGACACATTGTGTTATTCTTCTTTTAAACGTTTATTTCCAAACGGCCCCGAGCGCTTCACTTTTTGGAGTACATCAGCCGAACCAAATTCCATGTGGTTCGTTCCGCCAATGCCCTGGATTTCACCCGGCACCTCATCGACCTCTGCCTTCCTCTGGCGCTTCTGGGGCAGCCAATTGCTGGCTTTCCTGCAGAGGCGGCGAGAAACAGCAATGCCAAAGAGCTCAAGCATCCTGCCCTTTTGGTGAGTCCATGGAGAATGCGCAAACCAACCAGAAGCTTTGGCAAATTACTGGGTTTCCGTTGTTTCCTTTGATTAGGGGCAGGTGACCATCAAACACACAAACTCAATGGAACAAACTAAACAAAAGCCAGAAGAACCACCCCCTCCATCCAGTTCCATTAAAGCAGGGATGCTCGTGGTGTCACCTACAGCTGCAATTTCCCGAGAAATCCCACAACTAAAAATCAGTCCCGAATCCTGTGGCTCAAGAGCTTGAGGTTCCCAGAAAGGAAAATGGGCTGGTACCCCAACTTGTTCTTTTGGAAATGGAGGGGGCCAAAAGGAAAGCACTGAAAGCGCTTCCGATTAGCCATCAACTCGCGAGCCCTTTTGGTTGAAGGTAAACCCCACCCAAAAGAGACGGCACTGCAGCTCCATTTGGTCCATTTCCGGATAGCCCAAGTGCATTTGCCCTCTGGAGATTTGTCCAAACTCGCCAATGCCACCCCCTGAGGTGCAAGTCATTTGAGGGTGACCGGAAGGTTCTGTGCCTCTTTGTCCATGTCGTTCAGGACGGTCCGAGAAAAATGGGACTCCCGTCAGGCCAGAAAACTCATGCGGGTATGGGTATACGGTATTGGTCAAAAATAGGGGGAGCGCTCCCAAAATAGTGGTCTTGCCTGTTGGTTTCCCTTTAAGAAAAGGCACCATCAAGGAAAAAAACCATTTAGTTCACCCTCAACATGTCAAGAAAATAGCAGAACGATAAACTCATGAAAGCATCTGCTTGGGACATGGCCATGTCTCAACTCGGAAGACCCAGCTTTGCAAGGCAACAGAGCTCCTCTGTTTGGTTGAATCGGAACCAAACATCCATTTCGGAGGTTCGCCCATTTTGAGAAGCCATGTTTGAAGGGAAACGCATCCAGATGAAGGGCCAAAAGGTCACCACTGGGATGAATCGGTCCCAGCCGAGCTGCACAGGGGACACCGGCACATTGGCCGCCGTAACCGACGGCCGCTTTCCTGAGACGGGAACTGTGCTCTGCCATATGCTACACCATTCTGGGCAACCTGATGAGGTAGGTATCCCCTATTTGCCGCCTGTGCGAGGCTTGTGCGGAGTACCTTTCTCTATCTCTCTCTGCAGATGACACACAACAACATCTAAAATGAGAAAATCACCGGGTCTGAAATGAGGGACCAAGCACGGTGGGCAACACCAGGCCACAATGTTGACACCTCACACTGTGTCAGCAAATGGAATTGTGGCACATGAAAGGAGTCCTATTGTATCAAGCTGTCTTCGTTGCGCAGCTCATAATTGTTTCTAGGAACATGTGCAGTGGTCATCCAAGCCGCATGTGGCACAACAGGAGCATGGATCTTTCAATTCGTGACTCGCCAATAACTCCAACTCCCTGGCGCTCTGGTGCCTCCACTACATCCGAGAACGTTCAGAGCGGACATCTCCAGAATAGTCCAGAATGTGGGAATCGGTTCACTCCACAATCTTCTCCCACCTCCCTATACAGTGCGTGACTATCCGAATGATTGTGAGGCGCCTCGTCACCTACGGCAATGGAAAGTAGCTCCCTTTAAGCTAGTCGAAAGACATGCGACCAGCCAATTAGTGGGGTCGGAACCTGCCAACAAGCAGGGCCAACGCAAGTAAAACACCTGGCAAAGTCGGTCTCCCAGCCCCTGATTGGTGGTTTGAATTGCTAGTTTGGGATGTGAACCCTTCTTGTATACGCAAAAAGGTGTCATGAGTTGTTCACTTTGAATTTTCAAGCGAGAGGCCTCCGGGCTCGAAGGCTGCGGAGTGGTCGATTTTTTGCGAGCTAGACTCCAAGGTATTTGTGTTTTTTGTGGGTAAGGGCAACCTCCAAAAAATAAACCAGCCCAATGCTCCGGCCAAATAGGGT